GAACGAATATTAAATGTTCAATAGAACAAGGCAGCGCTCAGATTTTTGTAACACAACTTTATTTTATAATTACAAACGTTTCGAGACCATGGTGTGCCCTCATCTTCAGTGTATTTTCAAAAAACATAACATGGTATAAATTTGAGAACCGACACAAATATTTTGCACGACACTTATATAAACATCATTAATGATTTATAATTTTTTCATTTATCTTATTCTTTTCAATAAATTAATCTTTTTTTCAAAATCATCGATTTTTGTATGCGAGCGCTTTCCTTTTTTACATTTTAATGTTACCCATCCTGTCTCCGTGCAGACACTTCAGATTTGTTTCGAATAATTCTGTAACTGTCACAGTTCGGTTAGTGCCGTGTCAAACATTGAATGCAACAATTGTCACTTGTCAATGCAAGGAATAGTTGGTGGTTATATTCAAAAGTTAAAATAGTTTTAATAAAGAAATATAAAGAATGTATAGTAATAAGTAATTGTTTGTTGAAATTACACTGAAGATGAGGCACACCATGGTCTCGAAACGTTTGTAATTATAAAATAAAGTTGTGTTTAAAAATCTGAGTGCTGCTTTGTTCATATTAAACATTTAATATATATATATTATATATATATATATAATATATATATAGTTATGTGTGCTTTGGTTAATATTGTTTTTGCAGAATTTATGAACAATTAGGAACAAGGATAATTTGACAGTTTTTAATATTTCCAAAAATGAACTGTTTAAAGTTACTGAAAATATGAAAATATTGTACAAAAAGTTGAAATTTAATTGGAAAATATCAATGTAAGTAATTAACATAAGAATTTTATATATGCATATATATATATATATATATATATATATATATATATATATATATATATATATATATTATATATATATATATATATATATATATATATGTTTCTGTTTAACACAAGTAGCTATTTATCAACGTTGTGAAAGAAGTGCACTTTATTGAAAAAATATTTTTTACACAAAATTTTTGTATAAATTGTTAATAATTGAATTAGGGTTTTGTACAGTTTATAAAATTTTCTTTGTGATGGTATACATTAATGTATAACTTACCTAATAAAATACATTCATATTTTATTTTCAAAATTATCGTTATTGTTTCTACGCATTTTTATTTAGGCAACATATTGATCTCTAATTTGAACGAATGTTTATTTCGGGAAATGTGTTTACAATTAAACGATCTACAATACTATTTAACACGCTATAACGAACTATAGCAACTTATATACTTCAAAAACTCCTCATAAAAATTTACCATCAAAAGGTCATTTATTCTTTATACTTGAGATAAGCAATGAGGTGTTCTTTTACAATTAAATAAATAATTTTATGAATGTTGTTCTGCGACCAATCACATACTCTCGAAAATGACGTGTGTTTTAGCGCTAATTGTGATTGGCTAATTAATGCTGTTCGTTTTTTTTCGTTTTTCTTCGTCCCTTTTGCATCGTCTATAAATAGGGGGTGCGCAAAGGAATTCTTGGCAGTCGCCGGCCGTGGCCGGCGCCGGTGTCACCTCGGGTGGCACTGAAAGCCCTCGGGGCACCAGACCGGTCGCTCCCTTTGGAGGTGGACTGGACAGGAGCTCCAGGGCCTCCGCCGGAGACTCCCGGCTGCGGAGTCTCCTGGGCTGCGGAGTCTCCCGCGCTGCGGAGTCTCCTGGGCCACGGAGTCTCCTGGGCCACGGAGACTTCCGGCTGCGGAGACTCCCGCGTGCGGAGACTCCCGGGCCACGGAGTCTCCCGGCTGCGGAGACTCCCGGGCCACGGGGGCTCCGATCCCGGAGACTCCCGGGCCACGGAGTCTCCCGCTGCGGAGACTCCCGGGCCACGGGGGCTCCGATCCCGGAGATTCCCGGGCCACGGAGTCTCCCGGCTGCGGAGACTCCCGGCTGCGGAGACTCCCGGCTGCGGAGACTCCCGGACCACGGAGACTGCCGGCCGCGGAGACTTCGTGCTGCGAGGAAGCACATTCAAATTGCATTCTTACGATATTCTAATTCGATTTTCCCGACGCCCAGAGTCTCCGTGGCATGGAGTCTTTGCTTGGCCAGAAATCTCCGCGGCCGGGAATCTCTGCGTGTCCCGGAATCTCCGCGGGAGTCTCCGTGGTCCGGGAGTCTCCGCAGCCGGAAATCTCCGCAGCCGGGAGTCTCCGTGGCCCGGGGTCTCCGGGATCGGAGCCCCCGTGGCCCGGGAGTCTCCGCAGCCGGGAGACTCCGTGGCCCGGGAGTCTCCGCAGCCAGGAGTCTCCGCAGCCAGGAGTCTCCGCAGCCGGGAGTCTCTGTGGCCCGGGAGTCTCCGCAGCTGGGAGTCTCCGCAGCCGGGAGTCTCCGTGGCCCGGGAGTCTCCGCACGCGGTAGTCTCCGCAGCCGGAAGTCTCCGTGGCCCAGGAGACTCCGTGGCCTGGGAGACTCCGCAGCCGGGAGTCTCCGGCGGAGGCCCCGGAGCTCCTGTCCAGTCCACCTCCAAAGGGAGCGACCGGTCTGGTGCCCCGAGGGCTTTCAGTGCCACCCGAGGTGACACCGGCGCCGGCCACGGCCGGCGACTGCCAAGAATTCCTTCGCGCATCCCCTATTTATAGACGATGCAAAAGGGACGAAGAAAAACGAAAAAAAACGAACAGCATTAATTAGCCAATCACAATTAGCGATAAAAATATACGTCATTTTCGAGTACTGTGATTGGTCGCAGAACAACATTCTAAAAATTTGTTAATATACTCCAATTAATATATAAAATTTATTTCTTCAGTAACAAGGATGAAATAAACGAAAGAAGTTTATCAAAGAAGTCTGAGTCTCTCAAGGAATTACAAATAGTATTAGAACTCAACAAACCTTGAATTATAATGAAAAAATAAATAGAAAAGTGGTCAAGGACATTCTGGATCAGTATGTAAACATATATAATGTTAAATATGAAATTAATTGAATGTAAGTGGCACTTTGCTTCAAGGCAAGTTGCATGAAAGGAGTAAATAATCAGCTTAATCGATAAGAATTGTTTTGCGAGCACATTTTTTGACATTTATTTTAATTGTGGAAAAACTTATTTAAGCACATAAATTTATCTTACATAGATGAAAAGCTTATAAAATTTTCTACATAATTGTATTTACGGTTTTTAACTTTCAGTACAAAATCATGACGAAAAAAATCGTCAAACTTTAAATTCGTATAACTTTTTTTAAAATGTGCAAAATTTTTTCCTTATCAATACAAATCGAATGTTTTTTTAATTATTCAAATCGCTTCATCCGTGTTCCCGAAATCGTCGACGAAAATTTGTATCCGAACACACATACATACACGCACACACACACACATACACACACATACATCTATTTTTTCTAAGGTATGCCAAAATGTTCAGAAGGTTTTGAAACGTAAAGATATATAAAAATTTTCATTTTCAAATTTTTTGCTATAACTACAACCTGCCCTACGGGAAGTTAAAAAGATATTAGTAAAACTATATCATAAAATCTATTATATATCTGGGTATTCGACCAGACTTGAAAATCAATTTTTGATATAAATCAGTGATCTATCCTGCAATCTCTCAATGGATACTTCCGTTCATAATAAGTAATTATGACTAATTAATTTACAAGATGATAAATTTAAAACAATCAGACTATACTGATTCAATAACAGTTAATTAATTTTTAAATACAAGCCTAGATTTTTTTTACGAAATTATGATTAATGCAAAATCTACATTCGACTGATCAGGTCGAATTTCAGGAAATCAAGATTCTGGATAGTTTTCTACTCAGTTACTTACGATATCTGAAACATATACACCAGGACTCCCTTTCCTGGATTTTAAACAAATGCCCAAACCTTTTCCAGGTTTCTTTACTAATTGAACATCAATAGTGGTAGTTTCCAGTGGTTGTGATCTGAAGACAACCATTCTCATCTGAAAAATAATAAAACTTTAGCAAAACTAGTAAGATAATTTTGTTTACCAAGCATTTACTTTTGGTAATAACTGCTTTACGGCCAACGAGACCCTTTCGTGTAATAAATCGGGCACCATTTTGACGCTGTTGACTTCTAAAAGTTGATCGCCTGGTTTCAGTCTTCCATCTTTGCCTGCTGGACCGTCTGGGTAAATTTCGTGAACGACCACACCACCCTGAAAAAGAATTATATTTAGATTTGGACAAAAAAAAATATTATTTAGCACTTTATTTCTATCCTATTACACTTGTTAAAGTTTTTCTTAGATACTTATCCTCTGCGCATTTTTCTATTCCTTTTTCAGAACTATGTTCTATTTTTTTGCAAAAAATCTGCGAATGCTTGCTTTTAGCGACAAGATTTTTTTATATAATTTTAATGATGCTAATCTCCTGCATGCAATTTTAGCTCATTTTATTTTATTGATATTTATTTGAGAAATGTAGCAAGTTCGGGTTAGTAAGCCTAGGTAAATAGGGCTTTTTGTTAGTAAAACATACGCCCTCAATTAAAAAATATATCAAATAAGGTATCTTTGGCACTAGTTTCATAATGTTTATTGAGCTGCTGCATGATAATTTCACTCATTTTAAATGAGATAAAGTTCGCTTTTAATATGTTTCACAATATACTTCAATTAGTGTTGTTTAAATAAGCTACGTTTGATTTCTTATATATATTTTTTGATATTCGGGTTATTTCTCATGTTTATACTGTGTAAATTCCAAGAAAAATAAATAACATAAAATGAATTAAAGATAAATAAGATTAGAAAGTGCTTAGAAGTACTTACGGTAACTTGTGTATCTTTCCCGCCGGCCACTACAATCCCCAGAGCTTTTCCTTCTGTGTGTATTTCGATGTAGGTCTCCTTGCAAGGCTCGATGGGACAAGTGGCAGGGTCTACTATAGGATCTGCGGAAAATTGAAAGAGGAAAAATCAGAATCAAGGAAAATGAAAACCAATATTTGCAATATTTATTTCAAACATAATGAGTTTGAAACAAATTGAACGTGGATTCGCAAATCTTCAAGGCGAGAGTTTAAGAGACAAATCAAAAATAAAGAAGAAGTAAGAGACATATCAATATTCATTTCTAATAAGATTTGTCTCATTGAGAACAAATAGATATTAAAATAATGCATATGAAAATTGTGACGATTACTAGAAGTCTCAAATAATTAGCATATTAAATATCATATTTATTTAAATATACTAGCTAATTAAATATGTTACATATTGTAGATTATTGTGAGGGTGTTATACCATGGAGTGGTAACACATAAATATATCGTCAACAATATGTATATTAATCAATCTAGTGAAATTAATGTAATAAATATAAAAATATAAAAATATGTGTTAAATATTATTTCGATAATTTTGATCGTGAAAATTCACAAAGTTAGTCAAAGGAATTTTCCAGTAGAAAATTCCCACTCTTCATATTAGCAATTATATTTATTTTTAAATAATTTTGTAACTGTTCTAGTTATTCATATAATTTATTTTTGTTTAACATTCTTTTAATGCTATGAATATTTTACTAATTAGTAAATATTTCCCACTAATGCAACCAAAACATATTTTCAATTTTTGCACGTTCAGAGCTTGTTTACAGAATAGTTTTTATATGTTTTATGGGTTTGTTAATCTTTAAATATTTTATTTTATAATAGTGATTAATTTGGTCAAGTTGCTTAATAAAACTAACCAAAATTTATATATTCGGTATGAGTACTTTATATTATCAATTTATATCCATTTATATCCAATCCATTACATTACAATGCCTTATAAAAGTAGCCTTATAAGCTTAAAGATTATATTCAAACAAATATTAAAAATTATTTCGAGAATTTTGATACTTAAACTAGAACAAAATTAGGCAAAAATATTTCTCACTTTTCATATTTTTAATTCTAAAGATGTTTGAGAAATTGTTCTAATTAGAATTAGTAAAGATTATCCACATATCAATGAAGAAAAACGTTAATCGAGAAGTGCCTACAAACAAGTTTTCTAAATTTTTTCAATTTTCCTTTCATTTCGGAAGTCTTACTCGCCGTTCACATAGTTTAAAATACAAATATATGATATATGAAAGACAATTCAATTCTTAATGCTAATTCTTGACCATTTATGAAACATTTCAACTGTTAATGAGAAACTGAATATCTAAATATTGTCACATTTATCACGTTACGTCGCAAACGGTTAGACCTGATACTTGCTTGAAAAAACGATGCGCAATAATATTTTCCAAAACATATAGGGTGGCCCATTTAAAAATTGGAATTTATCGATAGCAACTTACCTGTAGGCCACACCGTGCGGAATTAGAAGTTGCGATATATAGGAAAAAAACTAAGAATCTTAAGACCTTTCTAACGATGTATAATACTTTATATGTTTTCTTTACAGAAATATCAAATCGTGAGGAGTGTTGCTCTAACCTAACCGCACTTTGCATTTTGACACGTTAACATTCGCACAGATTGCTCTATACTATCTAAACTGTAAAAGATACAAAAAAACTTTGTTCGTACGAAAGATGCAGAATAAAATTACGAATAAAATGGTATATAAATGGTTGAGTATGTTCATATAATTTTCTCTAGATTTTCCAGTTTTTCTGAAATTTTACGATAGCAACTTGCCTATAGGCCACACTGTGCGGAATTCTGTGCGGAGTTGCGATATATGAAGAAAAAACTAAGAATTTTGAGACCTCTCTAACGATGTATGATACTTTAAATGTTTTCTCTACATAAATATCTAAACCGTGAGATCACTAGATCACTAGGACCACTAGATGGACCACACGTTACTTTCCATTTTCGCAAGTTCAAAGCTTATTTACAGATTATATATTAACGAATCATATATCTTATAAATTTATCATATGTTCGATAGGCTAGTTAATATTTAAACTATTTATTACAATAATCAGTTTATTATATTATTCTAATCCATAATCTATTTCAATGTCCTAGTTACCCTTACGTATTCTAGCCGGCGATGGTCCAGGTCTGCTGGCCGGTCCGCCCGCCCTGGGCGACTCTTTTTTAACTGCATCAGCTGCAACCGGGGCTTTGAGCGTCGCACCAGACGGTGGCTTCGCCGCATTCGCGTTTTTATCAGGATCGTTTGGGTTGCAAACAGTCAAAACCACTGCTCCTTCAGTTTTCTTCAGAGTAGACGCAGCCTAAATTGTTCAGAGTAGAATTAGACAAAATGAAAATGATATAATTTGGGTTTGGAAAGAATGAAAAAAAATGTCGCAATAATTGGAAAGAAATTTTTTTATAAAGGAACTGGAATTATCTATTTTCTGCTTAAAAATAAAAAAACCGTAAGTTGTCTGAATATGTTGTAAATCGTCTGCCAATATTGTAAATTGTATGATAATGTATGTACATTATTTGAAAATTTTGTAAGTTGTCTAAAAGTGTAGATAGTCTGAAAACATAAATACGTAAAAATATAACAGATTGCTTCAAAATATTGTAAATAATCGGTGAATATTATAAATTGTATCAAAATGTATTTAAATTGTGTGAATATTGTGTAAAAGTGTAGATAGTCAGAAAATGTAAATGTAAAAATATAGCAGATTGTAAATATAAATTGTATGAAAATATTATAAATTGTATGATAATGTTAAAAATTTAAGAAAATCTAAATAGTCTCAAAATGCAAATATCTGAGAATGCTGATTTGCGGTGTGGAAAGTCTAAAAATGTAATCGTCGCAAGTATTGTAAATTGTATGAAAATATTTTAAATTATCTAAAAGTGTAAATATCTGAAAATGTATCAAATTGTCTGAAAATATTGTAAACTGACAGTAAATAACTTGTATGAAAATTATGCTTTTAAAAACTATAAATTGTTTAAAATGGACTTAACTTAACTGGGCAGTAAATATAAGTCGCGTGAAATTTTTGTAAAAACCATGAAAATTGTCTGAAAATGTAAATTTAAAATAAATGTTATAAACTCTATAGATATTGTAGTTTGTGTAATCATGTTGTAGATTGTCTAAAACTGGAGATAGTCCCATATAGAGAAAAATATAAATATCAGAAAATACCGCAAATTGGATGAAAATGTTGTAACTGCTATGAATTGTCTAAAATATAAACATATGAAAATATAGGAAATTTTCTGAAAATATTGTACATTGTATGTAGATTTTTCAAATTGTCAAAAAAAAACAGAATCACCCAAATTGTATATGTCCGAAAATGTTTCAAATTATTCATAAGTCTAGTCTAGGCAGTAAATATAAGTTGTGTAAAAATTTTGTAAATAGCAGGAAAATGTTCAAAATTGTCTAAAAATCTAGTTAGAATGAAGGTTTTTTCTAACACACAAACGTTACATAAATTTGATGAACAATTGCGATTAGATAAAAAATGTAATATGTATTAATATATATATATATATATATATATATATAATCAAATAATCAGCGAATAATCATACATCAGACAAATAACGCACATGCATGAAATACATAATAAACGAAGCTAATTCTAAAGTAAAGAAAAAATGTATTGTGTAATAAGTGAGTATTTTAGGCGTGAATATTATAGGAATTAAACAAAAATAGTTATAAACAGCGTAAACTATTTTACAGTACCTCATATAATATTATATTTTTCAATCAACGCAATATTTGTATACGAGCCGCTGTTTTTTCTTTTATAAAAACCAACCCAGCTAACTTTTTCATGTATGTAATATCCTTGCTCTAATTAGAATATCTGTCAGCATATAAAACCCATGAGCTTATTATTTATTATATTCTTGCGTTTGATATTATTTTATTCAAACTATTTTTGTAGAGATTTTATATAAAAATGTAAAATTTATTATAAATTGTAATATCTATATTAGCGCAGTCCGTTAGAGAATCATCATTAAAAGTTTTCCCATTTAATTATAAGGTTTATGAGGATGGAATTTGAAATTCTGAGAAACTGAGTCATGTAACATAATGAATAGAATATATGACAATATGTATAAACACTAATTAATTAATTAAGTGTTTAGAAATAAATTTATAATATAATGTCGGTCACACAGATTTTATGTGTTTTAACCGCAGCTAAGTAAAATATGAAGGTGAAAATTCTATATATTCACATAGAAATTAGAAAATCTAAATTTCTGAACCGATATCACATTAAATCGCTAGCGTTTAAAATAATTGAATTACATAATTTTAAATAATCTTCTAGGTTACTATATTTGTTAAATTTATATTTCCTAAGAAGTAAAAATAAAGTATTTAAAATTTAATTATTTAAATTGATTCTGATCTTGTAAATTGAGTTTCAGATTGCAAAATATATACAAAATAATATTAAAAAATAGATTTAGAAATGTAAGATTTCATCATGATGCACGTGCTTAATTCAGAAATAAATGATTAATTAAATATTCTTTAATAGTTTAAAGATTAAATATATTCATAGATATTAGTAGAGAAAAGACTGGAAGTTAATTAAAGTTAAAAATAGTAATAAACTAAGACGTTTCTTTTCTAATAACGTTTTTCATTACATAATAGTTAATTTGCATTCAGAGATAAAAGATTCTTTTAAAGATCATGCAAATATATACAGAGTGTCTCAGAACTTAAAGTCGAGCCAAAACTGGGTGAAAGTATTGATCTTAATTGTCAAGAAAATTAATAAAAATTAACCACAATAACTAAAAAATAATCATAACATCACCAAAGCTCTAGGTTGTGCTTAAAGCTCACAATTTTCAAACAACCTAAGATATTTTTTTTTCTAATTTTTTTCGGGGCGGTTAAGGTCAATCCTCTCTACCCAAGTCAAAGCTTGACGTTAACTTCTGGGACACTCTATATATATATATATATATATATATATATATATATACTTTTCATACGTTATAAGGAAAATATCAGTAGAATTTTAAAATGTGATCCTCTAACCTAATTTATGAAGGAGATTTGTTTCTTATATAGATGGAAGATCAGATGAAGAATAATGACTATAGATATATCAATATTAAAAAGTATAATATATAAATAAACAAATAAAAAATTATATCTGTAGTATGTAGATTCAAACATAATTTACAAAGAAATAGATATAAAAAACCATAGACAACCACATGGTTTTTCCAGAAAGATTCGTGTCATAGTTCTGAATATTAGATTCTGTTAGTTCTGATTATTAGAGTTGAAGAGATTTTACCAAATATGATCCATTCATTAACCATTCATAAAAAACAATCATATTTCTGAATCCAGTTTTACCGTTGCATATTCGCATCCCAGAAGTGTGTCTTTGTTGACGGCTAATATCATGTCTCCGACCTGCAGGCCAGCACTCTGTGCAGGAGAACCGTCCTGAATGTCCGAAACGAATATACCATGTCCAACTTCCTGGTGTCGTCCTTCGATGATCATTATGCCAAGACTTTGAGAGCCCTGCACATGTTCGCCATTTGTAACAACACTTACTCAGTCGTAATTGGTATTTGATGAGGGTAAGGAGGATGAGTTTAATATTATTTTGAAATAAATTTTGGAAAACCAGATAATCTTTGTTTTAATTTGTTGATCTTGCGGATATAAGTTGCTGATTTAAAAGTTTCCTGTATCTGAGATTTATTTTTAAGATTTTTGGTCACAATTGTTTTCGATTTTTCAGATGCATTTTCAACCCAGGCTGATTTTCAACATATTTTCCGAAATTATAAAAAGTTCATAAAAACGTGGCCAGAGTATTTCACATAGATAAATCTCTCACGTGAGATTAGGAGCCAATTTTCTTGTAAAATAGACCGTGACATAGCGTAGTTATAGTAACGCGATGTTACCCACCTTTCTTCATATAAGATGGTAGTAAAAATAGTCAAAATGCTATATATTAGCTGTTCAATCAGGTGTTTTACACATTAAACCTAAGTTCAAACATATGTTATAAATGCAAAAAGATGCATTTATGATAATATTCTTTTTTAAAATAGGCGCATTTTCTTGGTTAAGCTTTATATCTAAAACAGCAAGTCCAGCATTTTGACAGTTTCTACTACCATTTTATATGAAGAAAGAAACTTAACGTAGTGTTGCCATAACAAGAATTAGTCCTCAAATTAGTGGTTTCCAACCTTTTTTGCACGGCGCCTCTTGCTCTGTTGGGCAAAAAAAATGTTGGGCCCTCCCTTAATTTTTTCAACAATTTTATTTCATAAATACTCAATTGATATTATCAGACTATAAATTAACATGCAATATTATATAAAAGTATGCATAAAATATAATTATTTTTTTGTTTATCTTTTATATTAATTCAAAATTTTTGGTTCATTTTAGAAAATTTTGGAAAGTGTCGTACGCCCCTCCCCCCTGTAACAGCCAGGCGCTCCACTGAGGGGGCGCGCCCCACAGGTTGGAAACCGCTACCTTAAATACTTAATTGTGAGAGGAGGAATTATTGAAAACATATGTGATGAACCCACAACTTCTCTAGAATATTATTTTTATGATCCTTGGTATTAAAGGTGCTTCTAAAATTATACTTATTTAATATTGAAATATCAGAAATTAATTCTTAACTGATAGAGAATGAATTTATGAAAAAAATGTGTGGTAAATCCAATACTTCTTTAAAACATTTATTATACTCGTATATTCATGTTCATTTGCATGCTTCTTTCATTACTTTTCGAGTACTATTATTCATAAATTAGTGAATAATTTTATGTTCCTATTATAGCTGATATTTTTATTAATTTTTTAGTATTCAAATACGTCAATTAATATATTATTGACATAAAAAAATCTTTTATACAGTTAGCATTATATTGTAATTACTCCTCTCTCAACAGCGGATTCATGATTACATAGCAAGGTCAAAATCTAACAATGGAGTATTGACGTTGTTTTTTATATAAACAAATAAGTCTTCTAATCGTAAGAGTAATCATTTGTGCTTTTATTCAGGCGTATTTGGAAATAATTAAAAAAACAGCCCCCCCCCGGTAAATCTTACAGAATTTTGCTGAAAACGATCAAAACATCCAACAGAATGATACTGTAGGTGTAATCTTTAGAGCGCTTATAATTTGGTATATAAATAATGTTTTATGAAATTAAACCATCCAAATACAGCAAAATGATCTCTTTTGTAATCCATTTTGTCGTCCACTTTGCAAATTAATCAAAATAATTATCCTTTAAAAATAAATCTTCTTAGCAAAGTTATAAAGACTTCTTACCACTCTAAACTTTGCTCATTATGGAAACTTTTAAATCAACTTACGCGCTAAAAACAATTTGTCGAAAAACAGAGTTCGATTATCAATTTAATTTATTTTTCCATTTAGTTGCACATATAATTCATTTATTGATCATCATGTGTCTAAAGCTATGATATCTCTATTCTACTTGCAGCATTATCATAGAATGACATTCTCCATTAGCCATTGTAATCAATTATTCAGTAGATTGCCAATTAAATAATCTATGCAACATACATAACAACACTCGAAACATTACATGCTTCAATACAAAGGCATTCCGGGTTAGAATTGGAAAATTAGACAAGGTAAATTGGTTCTGATTGAAAGTATTCTAATAAGATCATTGAGATTAATTAGATTGTTAGTAGGTAATTCAAATTGTAGAAACTATAAGATTCAACTTTGGTAATTGAAAGTAATTTATATATTTGTTGTAGTTTGTTCATATAAAAAATATAATTAATTCTGGATGCAAATATAACTGTGAAATTCTTTTTTGCAAACCAGCTAATATTTATTTAACTGTTTGTCATGGTTCATTATATTTAAATTTGTATTTCATACTTTATCTGTAATTTTTAGATTCTTTTCAGTATGTAATTTAGCATGGAATTTTAATTATTAAGCATAATAATTTCATGAATTTCAAGTGTTGTTACGTTAATTTGCATGCAATTATTTAATAAACATGTGTTACTGAATATATTAACATCGATTTGGATCAAAAACGTTATTAATCTGCATACATGTTATTGCAAAGTTCTATTATTATTATAGAAGTATTATATTCGGGCCTTCAGGTATCCATAATAGGAATATACAAGTTTGTAAAACAATTACTCAAACCATAAATGACAAGTTTCTATAGAAAATATTTCAAGCAATGAATTCGTTTACGGCGTTTTATCATTCAAGAAGTATTATAAAATATTGAATTTTTGTGTTTTCAGATTTTTTATAAAATTATTATACTAAAGTAGTGTATGAGAAGCCTTAGGGCTTATTTGAGGGCGTCCATTAATCACGTGAGCGAGTTCTTATGAATTTTTGGACCCTTCTGCCCCTTGTTGATATATGGTGATATTTAAAATCACCCCCCTCTCTCACCAAACATCATGTGAATTACTAGTTACGTGAAATGTATATGTGTATAATTTTTAAATTATTTTTGAAAATGTTTAAACTTTTTTAAAAAAATTATTTAAAAAATAAATACACTTGATATTTTACTCTACCCCTCCCTTCCCCATGTGATATTTCGTGATTTCCCCTAGAAACCTCACGTGATTAATGGACGCCCCCTTATAACAGGTAAGTATTAATTACTCTAAATGAGAATTTAAAAAAAATATTTTTTATCCTGTATAATGTTATCATAGGTACTGTCCCCCAATGCAGTAAACAGAAGTGTGCAAACCTGTCATTTTTGACACCCATTGTACCCTCATACAGTTTCAGTTTGCGTTATTATTATTGACTAAGTTTAAATTTTATAAATCTTATTTCATTTCAAATTTATCAATGTGCTACAATTTTTGTAATTTCCAAGTGGTTTAAATAGTCATCTTGATCAATGTGAAAAAATCACACCTGGGGTAAATTGAAACAAATCCTTGGGGCTAGTTGTAACATACAAAAATTATATATAGATTTAAGTGAAGAAGTCGGGTAAATTGTATTATAGGAGACACTATATCCTTTATTTGTATTATAATAAGAAATACACAGGTCGTCAAAATAAAAGAAAGTTGTCTGTATTGGATGCAGCATTTGTTTTCCAATATAGTTTTTACTGCTAAAAAAAAGTCAAAATTAAAGGTAAAAAAATTGAAAAAAAAAATTGAGAAACGACAAACTTTCCAATTTAGTAATCCTTCTGCATAATAATCAAAATTTCATAATCTGTGTCGTTTTCTGGCCCTTTTTATCTTAAATGAATATTTAGTATCAATTAAATGATCTGCAGTATTTTGCAAACATATAGAAACAAGTCAACTTTCCTAAACATAAGTAAAGAATGAAATATAAGAGGTATCTATTTTAGTCGTTTTTAATTAAAAAAGACTGTTGCAGCAAGTCCCTAGTTCTCCTACTTAAAATAGCTATGATTGAATATAATAAAAGCTACTGAATTATACTGAATACTGTCAAAATGTCATGTATTTGCTGTGCAATTTACAAATAAACTGCAACGTCACTCGTATGTTTCGAAGCTGGGTCAGAAAGATCCTATTATCTAAGATCATTTTTGTTTTTTGATATTTGTGCGGTTCCTAGGTTATGTTTTCTACCTGACAACCTGAGAAAAACGCAGGACTGCACAGCAACCATATGGTTTTTGTTAGTATTTAGAACGGAAAGTTCTTCATAACATCACGAATTCGATTGAAATAGTAACCATAAGAAATGGGATTTTCATATATGAGTGTAACAAAGAAAAGAATTCTTTATGAGAAATTGGATTCTACTTCATCCATTTCGCATAGAGTCACTCAAATATTAAGGAAAATAATTGAACAAGACAAAAAATATGGCTTGTTGCCGAATCCCGGGCATTCGCAATCAGAATTATCATATGAAAAATTCACAAGGCGTTATTTTCCACAATGCAATCACCCGGGCGGCGTCGTGTTTGCGCGCCGAGTTTGCCGTTCGCCGTCGTTCTAATCAAGCCGAAGAAAATGTTGCGAGGCGTGTTATGAAAACGCGCTCCACGGAAACTTTGCGAATAAATATTTAAACCGGAGTTTCAGCAAATATTTGTTAGACGATTCTGATTTATGCATTTATTTTCCCAGTGCACAAAGTCAGGTGACGGCGACAGGACAACTGTCCGAAACATCTGCCGCACGCTCTGAATTACCGCGGGGATTTACATACTCAACGCAGAAATTTGCAATGCTCAGGCTTAATTAGAATCGCGAAGGGACTTTCGTTGTTGTAATTGGAATTTAATTATTAATATGAGCAGGATTAATATTCAAATACTTTTTGGACAAAAACACAAGCATAAAAGTATAAAAACGATAATTAAAAACACTGAAAGATGCACAACAAAAATTCAAATCCAAAATAATCTTCATATCTGGCTCTCAGTGAAAGAAACGTTAAACTTAATATTGAACTAGAAAATGAAAAGATTTTTCCAGAACCAAACTTAATGTATTAGGATAAGGAAAAATC